TCGCCTATTACCTTCCCGGACAACATCGTATCCCACATTCGTGACCCCGATGTATCCCACAGAGGTAAACATGCACTCAACAGAGAAGTCTTTTCGCAGGACTGTTCTTAGAGAGAGTGAATGTGCACGGGCATTGTAGACAGTGGGGACGAATGCAACGACTGTGTGTCGGAAGCCCACGCATCGGTTCCCCAGTCTCTGTGCGATGAATTAGCCAGTGACCGAGCAGACCAATGCGCGAGGTGGGAGTGTGGATAGGATAGGTCAGGAGCTGTTCTCTTAATGTATAGAAAATGACACACGCTTTTATTGGCCAAATCTATCCCCTGACTAAGTCTTTGACCACCTTCTCCGCATGTGACCGTACAAAAGCGTTTGTGTTCGTGACTTCCTCTGTCCATGAAATCCTCTTTGCCCTAGCCAGCAACATCTCGAATAAGGCAAAAACGTAAAAATTACATCCAATTATCGTCCTGCCAGATCGGAACATGTTATCAGACATTTAGCAGTTGGATACTACTGTCTGACATTCACATTACTGAAAAATATTAAAACGGAAATGGTATAAAACACGATGCTTAAACACTGTTGCGCCCATACCATTGTTTGCATGGAAAACCTCCATGTATTTCTAACAATGGAGATCAGACATTCAAGAAAAATTTCCGTCTTTCGACTTTATCGATTTTCTTACTGATACTATTGGGTCTGACCAGCGTAAATATTCTGTTTTCATTAAATTGAAAGTAGTTTATTATAGGTTGGGACATAGGTTGGCGCATTTGGGGTAGCTTCTGCTTATCAAAAGGTTATTTAAGTTAATGTAGACAGGTTCCACGAATTACCTTAGGGGCTCGGGTGGGACATCACTCGGGTCTGATTATGACTACCAGACACGGCTAATAAGCCAGCAAAGGCCATTCCAGTCTTCCTTGTCTTTGTCAGAAATACTACCCACTTAGTTACGCAAACCACTGTCGATGAAAAGAGGACAACGCTAGCTACCTACGCGGAAGGCCAAGTATTTCCAAGTGGTATATAAAAAGGAAGCGAGGTCCGTTATGATATATTTTTAGGAAACAAGGAATAATGAAGAAAAATAA